GGCTCAGGTCATGATCTCCCAGTTCATGAGTTTGAGCCCCGCATATGGCTCTCTGTCAGGGCGGAGCCCACTTCGGGTTCTCTGTCCCCCCCATTTCTGTCCCTCCCCCATTCGTGCGTGCTTTCTCCCTCTCTCTTTCAAAAATAAGTAAACATTAAAAAAAAAATTTTTTTAAAGATAGGATTAATGAAAACGGTAAATCAGCAATAGTCGTTTCCACCTCAGTATAAAAATGTCTCTACTTACCTAAGTTATTTCTGTATCGTAACTGATTGCGGATACTGTACAGAACAACCTGCTTTTCATATTCTCTCTGTGAATTTCCAAGACTCTAAAAAAAATAAAATAAAAAATTCAAAGTTTTAAAAATAGCCTCTGAACTAAACAGTACTTTTTCCTCATACAATTTCAAAACCACTCCCTCTAATTTTATCCTCATACCTCTAATTTCCAGAACTGAATACAGAATATTTTCTTAAATGTTATTATACTAATTTTCATGCTATGACATTAGAGCAAAAATTCAATGTGTTTATTATTTTTAGCCTGCCTTCCTTAAAGGACTTACTGAAATTACCTAAAGTGCTTATCAAATAAAAGAGCAGTCTGAGAGCATATAACTTCATTAACAAAAAACTAAGTTCTATTTACAAAGACTTCGTTCCTGATTGTTCCTAATTCGTGTGTTGAATAGACAGATGGATAAATGGACGGATGGCTTCATGCACCTACATTTTTCTAAAATGTAAGACTGTCAACAAAAGACCCGTCTGCTAATTGTTTATAGCTGATGGCTATAATTATCAAAAATTAACATTTCTGGGGGCGCCTGGGTGGCGCAGTCGGTTAAGCGTCCGACTTCAGCCAGGTCACGATTCACCATGGTCGTGAGTTGAGCCCCGTGAAACAAATGGCTCAGTTGATGGCCTGGAGCCTGTTTCGATTCAGTTCTCTGTGTCTCCTCTCTGCCTCCCGTTCATGCTCTGTCTCTCTCTGTCCCAAAAATAAATAAAAAACGTTGAAAAAAAAAATTAAAAAAAAAAAATTAACATTTCTGGAGAATGTACATTTCAAATGTACCTCTAAATGATAAGATAACTTCTTAAAAACATCATCTCCTTATGGCCTCATTGAAAAATATTTAGGGGCGCCTGGGTGGCTCAGTCTGTTGAATGTCCAACTCAACTTCAGCTCGGGTCATGTCTTGGGGTTTGTGAGACTGAGCCCCATGTTGGGCTCTATGCTGACAGCGTGGAACCTGCTTGGGTTTTTCTCTCTTCCTCTCTTTCTGCCTCTACCTACCCCCACTTGCATGCACGTGTGTGTGTGTGTGTGTGTGTATGTGTGTCTGAAAATAAACATTAGAAAAAATCCAGACAATTTCAGAATTTTGATGTTTTTTAAAGAGCAAAAAACTTTCCCACTGTGCTTTAGTGTTTTAAGCTCAAAGATAGATTCTCATGAAAGCAAAGCATAAGTGTGTCTGATTACAGTCAACATTATATTCAATGTGCGACCATAAACTTAATTTAATATATGACTGCTATCCCCCTTCTAATTACTGGGTATGATCTTCCCAACACGCTGTAAAATAAAATTAGACATCACAGGAGACTAATGGCAAAAAGATCAGAAGATTCAGTTATTATACTTCCTACTCACAGGTTTGAAAGCTGAGGTAAACGTCCACACACACACACACACACACACACACACGCGCGCGCGCACACGCACACACACACGCTTTCACCACAGGCCATCTTACAAGACAGATAAAACTCATATTTAAATAAACCAGCACCATGGGGCGCCTGGGTGGCGCAGTCGGTTAAGCGTCCGACTTCGGCCAGGTCACGATCTCGCGGTCCGTGAGTTCCAGCCCCGCGTCAGGCTCTGGGCTGACGGCTCAGAGCCTGGAGCCTGTTTCCGATTCTGTGTCCCCCTCTCTCTCTGCCCCTCCCCCGTTCATGCTCTGTCTCTCTCTGTCCCAAAAATAAATAAATGTTGAAAAAAATAAATAAATAAACAAACAAACAAACAAACAAACCAGCACCTAACTGGACCCACTGGTGGGATGTATTTTAAGAAAAAGGTGATGTGAGAAAACTAACATCTCTCTTCCTTCATCTAAATTAATTAGTTTATCACAGGCTAAACCGTGACTCATTTTACTGCCTGAATATATGTGCTTAAATTGTTTCATTCTTCTTTAAAGTTACAAGTGGTTAGTAACAAAGTTTATTATGGAGAAACCGCTCCACATCCTCCACCCAGCATCAAAGCCAGGATCAGTAATTAAGACATTGAGGGGAGTTAAACACTGGGCTTGCTGTGAAATTTGTAAAGGGTCTCCTCCAGCTTCGCTGCCACATAAGTCTCCTTCTCAAGGAACACAAAACACACACACAGAGCACCACTTTGCTAGAATCTCAGCAACGTCAACATGAGGTTTTGCGCTTCTGTTTTAAAATAAATCTCTTCATTTATCATGACTTACAAGCATTTTCTCCCTTTCTAACTTCATCCCTGGTAACTCGAGAACAAAGAGTGTAATCACGCCGCTCAAAATGGAAGGGTCTGTTATTTCTAAGCTAGTTAGAGAATACAGTGTTTAAATGCCTAAGCCTCTGTGCCAGGCATTCAAAGTAATGACTGGTCCTGATCAATCAATACATATGTGTACCCACAGATATCTAAAAACCACATTAAAAGTTGATTTTATTCTTCACTACCCATATACATAAAATATAATTGCTTTGTTCACAAAGATTCTTTGGCTTCCCTCCCACTCCTACCCCAAATTTCCCACCATTCGCATACTAAAACACTGTTACCACTACAGGAGGCAAACTAAAAGAAAGGTCATTTTACTCTGAGATGCGCTGACCCTGCAGAAATACTGACCAGATCTGACAAATGAAGCTGAGCTGCATATAGGTACTGGTTATAAAATACCCACTGTGCACCAGATTATGCTAAAAGCATAAGGAATTTTTTTCTACGGACTTTTCTCCTACAAACCCCAATCACACACACACACACACCCAAAAATACACCAAATCTTTAACTGACCTTTCTCACATGACACAGAACCTCATCATAAGACTTCCCTGAAAACACCTATAAATTGTTTTTGAATCATGAATACAAAATACTGATAAACTACAGAAATATCCTGAAATGATGGCCTTATCTATAACTTTTTAATGTACTTTTTAAGTTTTTGTATAGCCATATCACATAAAAACATTTCATCCCACCCATATAAAAACTAATGGCTTTACACACATTTTTTAAAAATCTGAAATCACCTTCTGGCTTGACATACCTTTTTAAAAAAAAAATTTTTTTTCAACGTTTATTTATTTTTGGGACAGAGAGAGACAAAGCACGAACAGGGGAGGGGCAGAGAGAGAGGGAGACACAGAATCGGAAACAGGCTCCAGGCTCCGAGCCATCAGCCCAGAGCCCGACGCGGGGCTCGAACTCACGGACCGCGAGATCGTGACCTGGCTGAAGTCGGACGCTTAACCGACTGCGCCACCCAGGCGCCCCCTGACATACCTTTTTAAAAAAAATCTGAAATCACCTTCCCCCAGTTTTCAGAAGTGGGAAATGAGTCATTTCCAAATTAAACTCATCAAAGCTTACTGGAAATGCTATCAAACTACTTAGTATTATAATGGCAAAAAACAAATTCTTTCCATACAAGGACTACTTCCCATTTTGAAAGTGACTGAGCTTTAGCTCCTTGAAAAGAAATCTCAAACTGATACCATCACTCATTCACTCCAAAAATGTTTACTAAAAGCCAACCACATGATAGGTGTTCAAAATGCAAAAGCAAAAAACAAGTAATGTATGCAGCAAATGCAACAGAGTGGGGTCAGTGCTGTGGGTGAGAAACACAGCACTGTGGAGAATCAACTGCTCCAACATGTAGAAAGTCAGGGAAACCTCCCTGGAGAGTTCTGACATTCAAGAAGCTACAAGTAATCTCTAGGAGGAGACAGGTAGTGCAGGACTGAGTTGGCATTTAGAAATCTCGCTCCGGTGTAATGTGAGGAATGAATGGGAGAGAGTCCCATCCTGCGGACAAGAGACCGAGTAGAAAGGTGATGTAGTAATCAAAGGCCGAGCTTGACCTAGGCCAACAGTGGCATGGCTACATGAAGTCCGAGGAAGCAACTTGTACAGATGGGTTTTCCAACACCTTCTATAAGCGGAAGCTCCTTCTAAGCTAAAATGGCTACTCTTTTTTAAGTGATCTTACCAAAACTAATTTTAATTTAATGTCACATCTGTACCTAATTATAACTCTGATCTGTGATTATTTTTAATAGTCATGACTAAGTATTAGATATGCTTTTGCCAATACAAATTCGGATCAATTATTCATGCTGAACATAATCGAATCATCCATCTTTCTTCCATTATGCTACATTTATTTCTGTGAAAAGAAGCGTAGAGAAAAGATGGAAACAAAGAAAAAGATTGTTGGTTCCTCCAGTTGTCTCTGGATACACCACAAAACCCTAAAGAACAAAAGTACCAAAGCCCTCATTCAAGCTCAACAAGAGAAATTTACTCAAGTTTAGAGCTTTGTTCTTTCAAGTCAAGATAAATGCCACATGGGCAGCCACTGACAACCAAGAATTCCTTCTCTGTCTTTCTACCTTCTAGTCTTTTTGGGTATCTCACAGTGAAAGCACTTTCCCTGCCACATGACGCATCACCAGAACCTTAAACTATTCATTTCTTAGAACTAAGCCCCCAAGCTGAGGGAAAAAGCAAATAATCCTTATATCATCACCACCACCACCCGAAACTCCGATTATAACTCTCCAGCACCAATGGAAACCAGAATTTCACTCTCAACCAAGTGGAAAGGGAGGAAACCTGAAGGTCAATCTATGGTCTATGGTCTGAGAAACAGTGCGTTACAGGCAGCATGTATCACTACCTTCCTAAGATTCAACACCACCTGCTGTATTAGGCTCTGGTTCATTTATTTGTTTACTGTCTTTCTTTACTAAAATGTAAGATCCATGAAAACAGGGTCTCCGTCTTGTTGACTGGTGCAAATGAACCACCAGCACCTACAAGAAGGCACAGTGTGCAGGTGTTCAATTACTATCTGTTGAGCGCTGAACAGAAATGACACTCAAGCAGTTGAGAGTTAACCCTCAGAAAAAAACCTCCTGTCAGTCTCTTGTTGCAACATCTCTAATAAACCTATCTTGCCTAGAGGATAAAGTCCCACAAAACCAAGTACAAAAGCCCCTTCAAAATCTGGCCCTGCCTGCTTTTCCAGACTCATCTGCTACAACCTCCACGCACTCACAAAATCCCACCTCCAAACACCAATATACCCACAACTCCACCTCCCGTGATACTAAGTTGCTAGCTACTCTCAGAACACGCTCTTTCACTCGTGCGAGCCTCGTAAAACAACTTTCCCACTTCCTGGAAAATCTTATTTCCTCTTATCTCTCATTCGTCCTCTAAGGCCCAATTTCAATGCCTCCACCACACAGCCTCCAGACACTCCCTGGACAATTTCTTACTCCCTCCTCTGTGTACCCACATATACTATAATACAAATACGTATGAGCTGCTATCATCCTGTAACGTATTTATTTAACGTTCGTCTATTCCCCACCATCCTAAAGTTCTGGAGGTCAAGAACCGTATTAAGCAGATTTCGCAAGCGCCTAGCCCAGTGCCTAGTTTAAAGGAGGCTGCGGGCAAAGGTGCCAGGCGAGTCCATCCTGCCGCTGTGGCCCCAGAGCCGTCCCTCCCTAACCCTTGACCTGCAGGTCGATTTCCCCGAGACCGGGGCGGGGGAAGGGCGGGATTCGGCCTCGAGGAGCAGCGCCGGCCCCGCGGGCACGGCAAGCAGGTGACGGCAGGGCGGGGCCCAGGTCCCAGGTTCCGGCCGTACCTGCCTCACGTTGGCCGGCAACTTGCTCCAGGGGTAGTTGTGCCGGATGTGGAACTCCACGTCTATATTCATGATGCCGGGAGCCCGGGCCGGCAGCGGCGACCGCAGCTGGAACGACACCTCCCGCCTGCCCGCCCTCGGCCTGTCGGGGAGCCCGCGGGAGGCCTCGCGCCTCACACTGCGGAGAGCCGGGGCTGCCCCATGGCCAGGGCTCCCGACAGCTCCGCGCTGCCGGGCCACGGGGCACAGGAGCAGCGGTGACCCGCGCCAGGAGCGCCTCGGCAGCTCCAAGTTTCTTCCTAGTTTCGCCCGCCGGAAATGGCTTTGGACTTGCGTCACTTCCGCCCACTGGCGCGAGGCCGGAGGGGCGGGGCGCCGAGAGGCCTCCTGCCCCGCCCCCTGCCCTCTGTGGGGCGGGGCAAGAAGGTGGTCAGGAAAAAGTAACGGGGTAACCGCCCCCTACCCACGTGCTTGGCTCAGGCTGTCAGTCTCCGGATGAATTGAGATACATTCCTGGGTCTGCATTGCCATTGGATGTCTTCATTTCCCCAGTGTGTGAACCCAGGTAGCTCCCGTTTCAGGCACAGGGGTAAGCTGTCTGAGAATGATGGGCTTGGGGAGGGAGTCGTAGCTGGCTTCAAATAATGAAAGAGCGGCGAGCTCCTCCCCACCCCATTGCCAACACTGAGGAATCTCTTCAATCAATGAATGGTGTTGGGAAAACTGGACCACTAGTTTACATCATACACAAAAACAAATTCAACGTTGATTAAAGACTGCTAGACGCGAAACCATAAGACATGGGCAGTAAGGTTTTTGACATCAGTCTTAGCAGTATTTTTTTTGGACCAGTCTCTTCAGGCAAGGGCAGGAGAAGCTAAAATAAACTAATGGGATTACATCAAACTAAAAGCTTCTGCACAGCAAGGGAAACCATCAACAAAACTAAAAGGCAGCCTACTGAATGGGAGGAAATATTTGCAAATCATACATCCAATAAAGGGTTAATGTCCAAAATATATAAAGAACTTATACAACTTCATATTTTTTTTAAAAATCTGATTAAAAAATGGGCAGAGGGCTTGAATAGACGTTTTTCCAAAGAAGACATACACATGGCCAACACGCACATGAAAAAAGGCCCAGTGCCACTAATCATCAGGGAAATACAAATCAAAACCACAATGAGATATCAACGCACATCTATCAGATTGGCTTTTATCAAAAAGACAATAACAAGTGTTAGTGAGGATGTGGAGGAAAAGGAGCCCTAGCTTGTGGGAATGTAAATTGTTGCGGCCACAGTGGAAAACAATATGGAGGTTCCTCAAAGAATTAAAAACGGAACTACCGTGCAATCCAGCAATTTCGGGGTATTTATCTGAAGAAAATAACAGCACTAATTCAAAGAGATACATACATCCCAATGTTCACTGCAGCATTATTTACAAAGCCCACATATGGAATATTACTCAGCCATAAAAAGAAGGAAATCTTTGCCATTTGTGACAACATGGATGGAGTTAGAGGGTACTATAATTACCTAATAATAAGTTAGAGAAAGACAAATGCCATATGATTTCACTTGTATGTGAAATCTAAAAACAAAACAAATGAACAAATAAGACAAAACAGAATCAGACTCATAGGTCCAGGTAACTGTTGGTTACCAGAAGGAGGAAGTTGGTGGGGGCAGGCAAATTAGATGAAGGAGATTAAGAGTTAGAAACTTACAGTCCGAAAATAAGTAAATCAGGGATATAATGTACAGCATATGGAATATTGTCAACAATGTCGTAATAACTTTGTATTCTGACAATGGTAACTAGATTTATTATCATTTTGTAATGTATAAAAATATTGAATCACTATGTTGTACCCCTGAAACTCATAAGCTATTGTATGTCAATTATGCTTCAATAGAAAACATTTAATCTAATTATAATTGCATTAAAACTTCTTAACTTTCTATTCTTACAGCCCACAACCATTGTTAGAAACATGCAAAATAGAGAGAGAGAGAGAGAGAAATTACCTATTCTTTTTTTTTTTTTTTTAATTTTTTTTTTCAACGTTTATTTATTTTTGGGATAGAGAGAGACAGAGCATGAACGGGGGAGGGGCAGAGAGAGAGGGAGACACAGAATCGGAAACAGGCTCCAGGCTCTGAGCCATCAGCCCAGAGCCCGACGCGGGGCTCGAACTCACGGACCGCGAGATCGTGACCTGGCTGAAGTCGGACGCTTAACCGACTGCGCCACCCAGGCGCCCCAGAAATTACCTATTCTTAAAGTCTTCTAAAATGTCCAGATTTCTTCATGTGCACATTATTGGGAACTCCTCATGGGTACGACAAGTAATGCTAAACATAAATCCCCATATTCTTTAATTATGAAAATTAAATTATAACATAGCACATGTAATCAATATATTTAAATGCTATAAAGTTTAGTTAAGTCTTCCGAGAAATTCGATCTCTTGCAATCAGTGGGAAAATATTTTAAGAAAGCAAGAGTTCAGAAATACAACATTTATTTTGAAACAAACCCAGATCTATTCCCTATTTTAAAATACAAATGTGAAAAATCCCACAGCATCAGACCCCCTTCTCCCACCAGTCAGTGAAGCTGAGGACAGGTAATCTGGCTCAGAGGGAACATGGACTCTCCCATGGACCACACTCCTGACTCTTTCCGACCACCTCTGTCATGGAGACTATCAGTTGTGAAAATATCCCACTTGCACTGTATTTATTTTGGAGTGGAGAAATATTTCTGTATTATTATGTGTTGAAAGTTGCAAAGACAAGAAAAACACTGAAAGGCTCAGCTGTCCATCCTCTCTTGCATTTTACACTTTAGAAACATGAAGACATTTGCCATTGCCTAAATATGCCAAATACGATAACCCCTCTCTTGTGTGCTTCCCCCTACTTTATTTACATTGAAAACTTCTCATCCTGACACTGTGAACAGAGTACTAAAGAATCAAGAGGCAAGCTTGGAGAAGCAGGAAGGGGCAAGAAAAATGTGGGACCATTTTTCTCTACGTTAGGGAGTTTCTAGGATTTTCCTCCGCAAATGTTGGACAGCAACTGAGAGTTACAAGTCTGTGTTAGAGAGAGGCAGAGTCATAGAGCCTGTGAACGATTTATATTCTATATTTATCTATAATATCGGAAATGACACATTTCTGCCATCTGAAGTCAGTCTGCGTTTAGAACATGTCTGGTGTGGAAATGAACATTCCACACAATTAAAACGCTGAACTATTGTAATACTTAAAGTGCCCACTAGGGGCTGATCTCACACAACATTTCTATACCTAAAACCTGCAAATTCTTCACTTCCTTTTTTATTGACTTTTATCCAAACCAATCTCTCAGGCCTGAAAGTCCTTTAAGTTTTTCATTTACTGGAGCTTTTCTCCCATATCTGATAGCACCAAATGTTGTCAGTTCTTCCTTGGAAATTGATGCAGTGAGGACTGTGGGGCAGTGGTCCAACTGAGGTTTGCACAATCTCAAGGGCACCCCTGAGCCTCAAGTTTTCTGCTTCTTGGTAGGCCAGGGAGACAAGAAAATCCATCAGCTACAAAGCATGGTTTATCCTTAATTGAAAGTATTTTCATGGTATCCATGATGAGGAGTAAAATTACATTTTGGGTGAATGGGATTTGTGAATTCTACCATTGGTATTAAATTATTTTCTTTCTTTATTGATTTATCATCTATCTATTTTTGAGAGAAAGCACAAGCGCTTGTAAGCTTGGGGAGGAGGGGGGGCAGTCAGAGAAAGAGGGAGAGAGAGAATCCCAAGCAGGCTCCACACTGTCAGTGCAGAGCCCAATGCAGGCGCAAACTCACAAACTGTGAGATCATGAGCCGAAATCAAGAGTCTGAGGTTTAACTGACTGAGCCACCCAGATGCCCCTCAACTGTATCTTTTTAAAAAGGTAGCACTTGGGGCGCCTGGGTGGCGCAGTCGGTTAAGCGTCCGACGTCAGCCAGGTCACGATCTCGCGGTCTGTGAGTTCGAGCCCCGCGTCGGGCTCTGGGCTGATGGCTCAGAGCCTGGAGCCTGTTTCCGATTCTGTGTCTCCCTCTCTCTCTGCCCCTCCCCCGTTCATGCTCTGTCTCTCTCTGTCCCAAAAATAAATAAACGTTCAAAAAAAAAGAAAATTAAAAAAAAAAAAAATTACCAATGTCCGGGCCTCACACCAGATCAATCCTATCAGAATTCCTCAGTTGGAGCCCAAATGATTCAACGTACAGCAAAGGTTGGTAACCACTTATCAGGGCTTTTTGGGCTTCAGGTAATCAATAAGCAATCTGCTGAATTTATAAAATGAGGAGATGAACAAAGATGACATCTAATGTGCATTCTAACTCTACAACACAATAATTCCATGACCAGCCAAAATAATTTACTTTGCATATGCAAAAAAATTCTCCCAGTCTGCCCCAGGCTTTTTTGTAAACAAATACACACAAGCATCTGTTCCACATTCATATAGACTAAGGACATAATTTCTCTTGATAATGTTGGGAGAGCCCTGAGAGAAATAAAGAATTACACACTCTTGGACTAATGGAACTTATCTGAGTTTGTGTTACACTTGGTTCCATCTCAGATAGTTTTAGTTTATTTGGGTGTATTGTCACAGTGGCTTAGAACTTGGCTGAAATGAAGTATTTTTTGTTTCCTTTTACATTATGTCATCCAAATTTTATACCTTTAGCAACACGTAATCTCTTGACTGTCTAACAAGAAATAAGAGTTTATGTACTGGTGTAAACTGTGATCAGGGATTAAATTCACATATAGTGGAACTGCTTCATGACCCCTATTAGTGAGATTTGAGTGAGAGATAGATACCTTCTTGGGTACATCTACAACTGATCCCAGAACAATGTAAATCATCTATTTCTTGGCCCAGGTCTTTGTAAACATTTGTTCTCTCACTTTGCAGAAATGTGGAATTCTCTTTTCTTTTAGAATTTGTGAAGATATAGTTAAATGTGGTTAGTGACATGTCTTCTTAGACTTGGTATAGATTTAATGCATAGTGAT